GGGTTTCGAACAATCCTTTAATAGATTTATGTTGGCTCCAAGGTAACCCCCCACAGCTTCAGGTGGAACCAACTTATGAATCACTTCCACTCGCCTCGTCAAACGAAATGTAAGGCACTCCAACATGAATCTATCAAGGGATTCTTCGAAACCCAGTTTTTCTACATACCTACGTACTACATACGGACACCACTGTTTTCGAAAATCATAATTTTACACTAAGACCAAGACAGCTTTGGCCCAACAAGTCAACCAAATTCGCTTTTGAAATTATCTTTTTCACTCATGTGGAAAGAATAAGTGAAAACAGTATCAGTGCTCGTCACATTGCGTACGTTTTTTTACTTATTTTTGCTATTGTAACTATCTCTATTTCGTATGACATTTGGGAGCTCTATGCTAGGGCGATGCAATTATTTGTTGGCTAGACAGATAGGTTCGACTGTTGCTCTTTTTTTAGCAAGGGATAGTTTCTAATGTGAATGAGCGATAGTTAGTCAGAGGCGAGAATGTGCGATAGACATTGAATGATAATTACTGTAATTACTATAATGAGGTAAAATGAGAAACAAAGTACATGCAGTCCTTGCTAAATTATATTAAGATATACGCTTAGTATGCATTTGTTTTCCTATTTTTATCTGCTATGCCTTATTTTTAGCCTCTGAAAGTGGATCTGATGAAGTAGTAGATGTGTCTGGGGTCGACGCAGATGACATTGCTAGAGCGAGTAAACGATGTCGTTACCTTGAAGCCGGCATCCTAATTTCCAGACCTCCTTCCTCACCAGCCATTGCTTCCGGCACAGTGACAGTTGCGACAGGCACAGGCGAAGGTCCACGACCAGTCGAGGCTCGTCTGCTGGAACGCGAGGCCGCCCTCTCTAGTCTTGGTTTGGTTGAGCACAAACTTATCATGACCAGCACGCTTCCCCTGGCATATGCACATACACGCGCCAAATTGATGACCAAGCTGATTGCCATCTGCCAGAGGTGGTCGCCCTTATTCCTCTTACTTTTTATACTTCATATATTAGTGGCAAATATATTATATCAGAGTTTAATTGTCAATTACCTTAGCGCTCCACATTTGCGATGGGAACTTTATACTACACTCTGGTTATCAGGAGACTTAGGTTGTCCCATATCAATAATAAGGCAGAATAGGCTCCATTTTTCACTAGTGGTATGTCTTTTTAATAAACAGCTTATACATCTATATTCTCTTCATATTTTCATCTTTTGATATCATTATTACTCCTGACAAATTGCAGGGTCTGTTGTGTGCTTGGTATACTATTTTTTTATTGATTTTAGCCCTTAACTTATTGATGTTGAAATGATCACCTTCACTACGTAGTGAGGCCGCATTTTTGCTTCCCCCTTAGGTCAGTAAATTAATGTGTATAGTAAACTTTCAAGGCAAGACACCGCATGACCTGCGGTTATGTATTGATTTATAGGACCAGTGAATGAAAACATTCTTGGGGTCGTATACAGCTTCGCTATCGACAGCATCACTCACGATTACCATGCTACAATTATTTTCGATTTGGCGAAAAATATAATTTTTTTAAGCCAAATTGGAAATGAGGATTGCTGAAATTCTTATTTCAAGGCAAGCTCTTGACGTTGATTAATAATTTAATATGAGATGTATTCACCCTATTTCGTTTAAGGTGATGAAGGGCTGGTAGTAGAATTTTCTCACAATGATATGAGTAGAG